AGCCACGATCGAGCACGAGATGGAACTGCGGCACAAGAACGAGATGCTGAGGGTCGAGGCCGAGGCCAGGTCCCGAGCCAAGGTGGAGCGAGAAAATGCTGACATCATCCGCGAGCAGATCCGGCTGAAGGCGGCCGAGCACAGACAGACTGTCCTGGAGTCCATTCGGTGAGGGGATGGGAGGGGGACAGAACGCATTGCTTTCATTCGTATGAAAGTGTGTCTTTGGTTTCTAACTATGAACGTGTGAGAGCTCTGATCGTTGTTTCTCCTGCGCCTGTACCGCCGTCTCCCTGTGCTGTTTTGCTGTCATGGCTGCTGGTGCCAGTGGCTCGCTGTCAGTAACTGGGAACCCTGTCTGTCATCCAGGACGGCAGGGGCTGTGTTCGGAGAGGGGTTCCGCGCCTTCGTGTCGGACTGGGACAAGGTCACGGCCACGGTGAGAGCGCGCCCCGAAGCGCACGACCGCCGCCAGCCTCTCGCCTCTGTCTGACCCCCTGTCCCTGTCCCCCAGGTGGCAGGGCTGACCCTCCTGGCCGTGGGGGTGTACTCTGCGCGGAACGCCACCGCCGTGGCAGGGCGCTATATTGAGGCGCGGCTGGGCAGGCCGTCGCTGGTCAGGGAGACGTCCAGGATCACAGTGGCGGAGACCCTGAAGCACCCCATCAAGGTCAGGGCGGTCAGCGAGCTCCGTGTCTGTGGAGCCGCGCGCCGGACCGACACTGACCCCTCTCTCCCTCTCAGGTCGGGAAGCGTCTGACCAGCAAGCCCCAGGACGCCCTGGAAGGCGTGGTGCTCAGCGTGAGTATGACACGGGCCTCCGGCGCCGCTGTCTCCCTGGCCACTGGGCTCTGCAGCGTCCAGTCCTGACCGTCTGTCGTGCTTCTGCCCCCGCAGCCAGCCCTGGAGGAGCGCGTGCGGGACATCGCCATAGCGACGCGCAACACGCGGCAGAACCGCGGCCTGTACCGGAATATCCTGATGTACGGCCCGCCTGGTACCGGCAAGACGCTGTTCGCCAAGGTGGGTCAGAACCGGGCTGGTGGCAGGCGTGGAGACGTGTGATGTGGGGCTGAGCTGTAGACATCCCTTTCCATGCCTCACAGCTCACAGCGCACGGTCACCGGCGTCGGCAGGCTCCGGAACAGTTCTCTCTGACCAGTAGCAGGGCCCGGAGCTGCTCGGTCAGGGGATGAGTAGTGACAAGCTCCCAGCAGTAGAGGAGAAGGGCTTGGCAGACCTCTAACCCTGCTGGGATGTGAGGCGCCTGCAGCGCAGTCCTTGCCGAATCCGCTGTCCTCCTGTGCGGACGCGCTTGGTAATCCAGTACCTTTGTGTAGTGCAGAACAGGGGGGCTGTTGTGTGGCTGTGGGTCTGAGAGTCTCACCTGTCTGTCTTCTTCACAGAAATTGGCAGTGCATTCTGGGATGGACTACGCCATCATGACAGGGGGGGACGTGGCGCCGATGGGCCGCGATGGCGTTACTGCCATGCACAAGGTGTTTGACTGGGCCAACACCAGCCGGAGAGGGTACGGCACATCATGAAGCAATCCCACTCTCCCTGTCTCCCACTCCTCCCTTTCCCCTCTGACTCTCTCCTGTTGCCCACAGTCTCCTGCTGTTCGTAGATGAAGCTGATGCATTCCTCCGCAAGAGGGCCACAGTGAGTCCTCTCTTCCTCCTGCGTGCTTCTGTGACTGCGGGTCTGTCTGTAGTTGTGGTGTGCTTATAGAAGTGTGTCTGTAGTTGTGGTGTGCTTATAGAAGTGTGTCTGTAGTTGTGGTGTGCTTATAGAAGTTTGTGTGTTTCTCTGACCTGCATGTCTGTCTGTAGTTGTGTGCTTATAGAAGTGTGTGTCTTGTGTTTCAGGAGAAGATCAGTGAAGATCTCAGGGCCACTCTCAACGCCTTCCTGTACCGAACTGGAGAGCAGAGCAAAAAGTGAGCCCGCCCCCCCCCCCGCATCTGCGAGCGTGCTCATCTGCCCGTCTGCGTGTGTACGCGTGTGTGCATATGTGTGTGCTTGTCTGCGTTTGTACACGTTGTGCGTGCCCTGTTCCGAACGCTTTCCCCTTCCCCTGTGTGCAGGTTCATGCTGGTGTTGGCCAGCAACCAGCCGGAGCAGTTCGACTGGGCGATCAACGACCGGATCGACGAGATCGTGAACTTCGCGCTGCCGGGGCTGGAGGAGAGGGAGCGCCTGGTCAGGCTCTACTTCGACAGATACGTCCTGGAGCCGGCCACGCAGGGCAAGCAGTGAGTGCCGTCCCGGAGAGACCCTGCCCACCGTTAAATCACCACATTCTCAACCTGGAACAGTCCACTGCAAGCAACTAAATAAGTGATTTGTTAAATTAAGTAATATAAAGATTATTTTTAGGACTAAAAGCCCTTCCTTTAACTGAACAGACTTGTTGCTTGGTTCAACAGCTTACAGGTGTGATCAATAAGACTGACTGGATTGGGTCTGTCTGTCATCAGCTGGTCAGTCTCAGAATCCCAGCCGGAAAGCTTTCTTATCTCATCTCTGGTACTAAATGTGCCTTCATTGCTTATTATTATTATTACTGTGCACATGCCCACTGTACGTGCCAGGCTTCTTTGTGCACCAGCTGCCACGGTTTGGCCCTCTGGGGGCTCTTGGTGAACGCCAGTGGCCCTCTCTGACATCGTGTTCACTCCCCTGCAGGCGTCTGAAGCTGGCGCAGTTCGACTACGGCAGGAAGTGCTCTGAGATCGCACAGCTGACGGGGGGCATGTCTGGCAGGGAGATCTCCAAGCTGGGCGTGGCCTGGCAGGTAGGCAGCGCGGCCTTCGCTGGGACCCAGTCCTGTTTGCTGACGCAGTCTCGCTTGCAGGAGGTGTTCAAGCCCATCTCCTCCTCTGTCTCCCCCAGGCTGCAGCCTACTCCTCAATGGACGGCGTTCTGACTGAGGCCATGATCGACACGCGGGTGGTGGATGCTATCCGGCAGCACCAGCAGAAGATGGACTGGTTGAGACGGGAACATGCTGAGGGAGAGGGCAAGCCGGGGATAACCCCACCACCCCCGGAGGGCACCCCGGTCTGACGAAGGGAGAAGGGGGTCGCCGAGGGGCTTGGGGCTGTAAGGGTGTGGGATGGGGCGTCTGATTAAACACAGCTGTCAAACGTCAGTGACTGCGGTGTGCAGATTAATCCTGAGAGCAGTTTCTCCTGGAGTTTCTCACTTCAGGGCTCTGCCAGGCAGGGGCGACAGGGGTCTCCCTCACATCCGTGCGTTAATTGGTTAATTAGCCCTGGTGCTGAAGATCACTTACCTTGATTAAGGACTGGCGGTGGAATGGAAGAGGCCAGCTCTCCGGTCACAGGGCTGGGAGTCGGAATGGAGGACCGGGGAGACAGAGCAGCAGCACAGTGACCAGAAGTCAGGGGGCAGAGACGGGTGGCGGGGTAATGCTGGTGTCCCCAGTAATGGTGCTGATCAGGACGGGCACCAGCGGCCCAGAGCTTGCATCCACGCACCTTCGATACCTGGTAAAGCACAGCATGAGCAGGACCTGACAACCATGCTGATCTGACCCAACACACTAATCTCCCAGGCCAGGACAGGAGCTGGTGCTGGTGCTGTTGCTAAATCAGAGGCGTAGACTCAAATTCACTGTTGTGCTTTTTTGCACGTTTAATAAAACACAAACATAATTTCATCTCCACAACAGCAATATCTGCATGGGGGTTGGGGGAGAGGAGGGGCTGGTAGGCAGGTCAGTCACCCCCACCCCAGCTGTTACCGTACAGGTTCTGTTTGAGACGCAAGCGCACAGGCCCGTAGCTCTAATATGGGAAGGGTGTGATTCTGGTTCGGGTGTGGGCAGGGAGATCCTTCAAGCAGAAAGGGGTCGGGGGATGGTCTGGCTGGCCCTCACCCAGGGCTTGGGTGGCAGTCTAGGGTCCTGCGCTTGCAGTGTGCCACAGTCAGTCTCTCAGACTGGGGTTCAGCAGGCAGTTCTCTCTAGATTCAGGGGCCTACTCCCCCATAAACCATATAGACTCCCCACTGTTCGGAGGGAGGCTCAGAAATGTGTGGCCTGGCTTGGTGTGCTTCAATTTTAAACCTAAGTCTCAGACACTGCAAGAGCTCCTCAATTGCTGTCCTAAGAACAAAAACAAGGTGTCTTCAAAAATACAATATGTTCACCTTGAGCCCTGAAAATGGCCCACTTACTGTGAAATAACCTTCACATTGCATATTTCAATCTGTGCCATAGAAACTACAAACAGAAGCAATATTGCTCTCCATGTTAAATATGCTTTTGTTCACAGTCTTCCACAGAAAGGCGTGCTGCCTCCAGTCTGCACTCTGAGCTCTTAATGGCATAATGACACTCAGTTGCTGATTTCAAGAGTAGAATAAACCCTGCTAGACTGTGACCCACCTTCCCTCCCTCCCTTTCAGCAGAAACAGCACCAGCTGGAACACAGCTGTACCGGGCGTATGTGTGCGAAGGGGTTCCTGTGGAAGCAGCTGTCTGGGGGAAGGCTGATAGCTGCAGTACTATTCAGGGAGCATATATGAATGATGAACATGGTTGCACAGGAATTGAAGTTTTGAAACCTGCTGGACTGTTGCTGTCCGGGGATGGACATTGTTGTACAGGGATATAAAGGAGCATATGAATGCACAGTGAACAGCGCTGTATAGGGATTTTTGGTGAATCTACAGTGAAGAAGGGTGTAAAGGTGCACGTTATTGTGCAGGCTGGTTTAGAACACTACTGCCCTCTGCTGGACCACAATGTAATAACAAGAGACTGAGAACAAAAATTGGTGGGGCTTTCGTGCTTATTTAATTGTGCTTTCCAGCAATCTGGGACGGACAGTATAGTTATTATAAACAAAAACCAAATGATAAAGAGTAATGCAGAGCTACAGAAAAACCTGATTACTTGCATCTTCCTCCTAAAGAATAATTACTCAGAGACCTGTAAACCATGATTAATTGGGAGCAAATCCCCCTCAAGGTGGAGAAGATACCAGACCGTGTTGCCCTGATTCTTGACAGTGAGAGGGAGGGGTTGTGGGTTGTGTGTTCTGGGCTGATCTAATTCAGACAGGTGGGGGTTAACTGAGGCAAAACAGCGAGACCCTCCCCTGACCCCTCACCCCAGCACAGGGCACAAAGAGAGTACGGTGAGGTCAGAGGGCATGACTAGATCAGAGGGTACATTTAAGGTCAGAGAAGGCAAGGTCACATCTGTACACAATTACACACAAGCACTCCACAAACGGCCACCAGTCCCTGGTTCTAAAGTCAACCAATGAATTAATTAATGAATTAAGTCACAATCAGTGTACCGTTACATCAGTTACACAAAAAATAACCACAGCTCACTCTATACTTGTTCCCCGCTGTTTCGGCTTTTCTGGGAGGAACGGTATTCTTGTCACAGATGTGCTGGGACTGCGGTCACGTGTGAGGTGAACAGACCCCCTCCCCGTCTCGCATGCTTCCCCCCACCCCTGTCTGTCTGGCCATCCCTGTCTGCTTCTGCATTCATGCCCTTCAGCTGCTGCTGCTCGTCCCTTCTCCCAGTGTCCTGTCGGCTCTGCTCAGTCTTTCACCACCTGGGGCAGCTCAGAAGAAATTATCCATAGACGTTGCCCCATAGCGGAGCCCCACTCAGCACCCTGACTGCTCTCCCTGCCCTGAGCCCAGTTCCTCCCGCAACACCACCCACCCACAAACCCACTCTACCTCCCTTTTCAGCTTCTGGTCTGTGTTTAAATATAAATGACTCTTGCAAATCCTGTAAAGGAAAAAGTGGACAATCTGCCTCCGTCGCTCAGGGGTATCGGAGAGAGCGATGGAGGCAGGGCGGGGAGGGGGAGTTCGAGTCCCTGTGGCTCAGAGGTGCCGGGGGCTGGGGTGCCCATTGTGGTAGAGCTTCTGCTTGATGTGCACCATGTTCCCACTGGAGTCCTCAAACTGGCGCAGCTGTGTCCGCCGGCGGAAATCCCGCAGGTTACAGAACTTCGGGAGCCAGGCCCATGAGGAGGAGTCTGGCAGGGTGAGAAACGGAGGAGAATGAGAAGGTGCAGCTGAACAGGACAGTGGTGCAGGAAGGAGAGAAAGACGGGAGGATGTGACATGGAGCAGTGAAGACTTGGTATGGCTCCCTTTTCTGGTACAGATCCCCAGAGCTTGGCTCAGCCCCAGCCTTGCTGTCCGCAGGCGCACTCCTCGCTCTGCTCAGCTGAGTGCTGTGTTCCCAGGATGTTGCTTTATATAGCTCAGAAAATCAGGTGTCTGAGCCCTTCAGAACTGTGTCACTATGGCCTACATTCTCCTGCCGCGGCTCCTCTCCCTCCAGATTACCTGCCGTCTGGCCTTCTCTCCCCCTGTTTACCAACGACATCCTGAGCTCGATTCCTTCACACGGGGACACTGCTTGACTGAGAGAATCGGTGTAACAAGACATGGTCTTATTTATAAGACATTTTCCTTGTCTTTACAATTTCTGTGAAGATAGCATTTTAATTTTCTTTAAAAGAAGGAATGATGATGCATTTGAAAGCTGCCAAAGACAGGCGATGACTTCCCAGGACCTGTGGAGTGAGGTGGGTGCTGGCGGCTGCTGCACAGGGGGAGGAGGGAAGAGCCCTGTTGTCACTGTGCTGATATACGACACACAGACACACAGACACACAGACAGGTCCTCCGCTTGCTTTGGCAGGGCCAGGCGGATGGAGCAGTAAATCACAGCTGCCCAGTGTGCTGAAAGCAGCTGTCTGCGCCTGCGATGGATGTGGGCTCGCAGCAGCTGCTCCATTGACTGTTGCTTTTCTCTTTGCTATTTATAGCTCCCACTGGGAGAGGAGGGACAGGCAGTGGCAAATTTATAACTCCTTGCCCCCCCACCCCCAGCTTCTCTTCTTCCACTAGGCATGGGCCAGGATCTGTGCGATTACAGATACCCTCACCTCCAGCCTGATAAACTAGTCCATTGATAAGCTTGTTTCCTAGGCCATCACTACAGGACTGGACTGCAGTGAACACTCACAATGTTAAATACCTAATGGATGCTTTATCTTTAGTTTATGTGTCCACCTGCCCTGTGGCAGTGGAAGAAATACTGCAGTCTAGACTAAAGTAAGGGTATTGTGCTGCCCATGCTGTGGTACCATGACTTGGGTGGAAAGTGCAGCTGATGACCACTGTGACGAGCCATCTGAGCCTCCTGGCAATGTGCTGACAGCCTTGTCTGAGCTGCTGGGAAGAGCAGATTCAGCACTTAACAGTTCGAAGTCTACAGCACTCATGTTGGATACAGGTGCTAAACAAACAGAAGCACAGACTATCCTCTGAGCAGGTGACAGGTGGCTGGGCCATAGCAACAGCCTGCCAATAACAGGGGTTTCAGGACTCTGCCCATCCGACCTGCACTCTGGAGCCATGCTGGAGGGTGTGAGTGTGAAAGAGCTACACCCAGACACTGGGGAGCTGAGGAAAGAGAACCGGGGGGCGGCAGCAAGTGGCGTGCCTATCTGTGTGTGTCCCTGTGTCTGATGCAGCTCCAGCAAAAGTGTGTGTGCCTGGCTGTGGAGGGCCCCTGGCGAGACAGCAGCACAGAAACACTGCTGCAGAAACTGCTCACGCCTCTGCTCCATCTGAACCAAAATACATTTTCAAACCAGACAGTTATTTGTTCTGGATAGTTTATATCATTGCAATTCTGCTGTGGATACTTGAGTACAGTGTGTTGACCGCAGCGTTATAAATACTGCATCTACTCTCAGGCACACTTCAGTACTAATGTTACGTCACAGCAATTAACTGATTCATCCCAAGAGAAAGTAAATCAGGGGCTAGAAAGCAGAGGGCCTAATGGTTTAATAAATCAAGTAAGACAAACGTATAAAGAAAGAATGCACTCAATAAAATTATCGAAAAGAACAGGAGTCAGTAAAAGAAAAGGAATGCAATGAACTGTTAGTGCCGGTTAAAGATGACATTGCACCGGCCGAGAGGGACGAATATTGCAAGCAGAGCTAAATTAAGTAATTAAAGCTTTTTCCAGTATTGCACCAGTAACAGATTGTAAAGTATTTCAGAGACGACAGTGGAAACACTGCCACTGAAAGGGAAATGGCTGATGTATTAAACTAATAACCCACTAACTAATAACGGAAGAAATTCATTTCTTGCCCTTGAGATATCAGAGTGTGATTGTATTACTACAGTTGTACTTAAGGAATTATTCACACACCGTTAACAGAACTCTTCAAATAGTCTCTCAGGCCAGGAGTACTAGTTCCACTGTCAGGAAAAGTGCTAATACAGTTCAAAGCCACAATAAGGTCAACAAAACCAAACCAAGTGACCAACACAGACCAACAAGCTACATGCAAAGTTATGGAAATGATAATTAGATCTAAACTAGAGAACCACTTGTATGACAGCAGGTTAGTCAGGTTAGTCAGCTGTTAGTCAGCAGGAAGTTAGAGGAGACAGGTCTGCTGAACTAACTCGGCAGAGCTCCAGGAACAAGCAGCAGGACTGATGGACGCAGAGCACAGGATACCTGTGGGTTTTCAGAAGGCATTAAGTTCGTCTCAAATCAGTTCTCAGACTGCAGGCACTAGCATTCAAGGAGATGCACGTACTTGAAATAAGACCCAGTAAGTGCAGGAAACACAGGTACAGATAAGGGTGAGAGCTCTGACTGGGGTGATGGTGTTATAGCAGCACAGGGAGCTAACAAGTGCAATGAGACGCTTGTCTTAAATTGTACATATGAGATCCGGAAGCACTGAGTTTGAAAAACCTACTCCTGAAAAAGAATGAGGTGTTTATGACGATGCATCATTTGAATCCTTTAGGCACTGGGGGAAACAATAACAAGTCAAACAGAATATGCTTAAAAATAGTTAAAATATGTATTTAAAAATTTAAGAATTTTAAATTTCAAATCAAGGGATGTTTTGTTAGAATTGTAGTTGTACCCTGTTTAGAAAATTGTGCACCTTTTTGGTCACCACATTACAAAAAGGGCATTGCTACTGTAGAATCAGTTCCGATTTCTGCAATGATAGGCTAAAAAACTGAATCTCTTCAGTCTTTAACAGAAACAAATATGAGGGGCCCTGATACAAGTATTTAGAATCTAAAAAAGGCATGGTCAGTCATCCCCGAATCCGCAGTGCCAGACAGGAGGGAACCACGGGGACGTGAATATAATCCTGTGTGGGCAGGGTGGGGAATGTGCCGCGCGCCCCGGGTCTCACCGTAGCGCCGGCTCGCCCTCCAGGCCCTCACAGCGCAGTGCAGAGCCCCGTCCAGCCACACCAGCAGCCAGCTGATGCAGAAGCCCAGCAGCAGCCCCAGCATCAAGTCCATCTCCTGCTTCGTCACGCTGTCGCTCACAAAGTAGTTCTCCGAGGAGTCGACCAGGGACTGGTCCCCGTCGTAGGGAATCACATAGTGCACGTGGTGCCTGGCCACAGCGCAGGGACACGGGGACGAGAGGACGCAGGGCGAAGGACAGCAAGGAAGAGAAAACAGAGAGGAAGGTGGAGAAGTGGAAAAAGGAAGAAGTCACGTGGAAGTAGAGAGGGATAAAAAGGGAGAGAAAGTGAGAGGCAAAGATAATATTAGAAGAGGACAAAACCAGAGAGGAACAAAAGTCAGGGGGAGAAAAGGGGAGGGAGAGAAAACAGAGAAAAGGGGTAGTGGGGAAGAGAAAAAAGGAAAAATGTTTTTTTAAACAAAAATAATCTTTTTCAAAAATAATTATAATTTTCAACAAATAATTTGCTGCAACAAAAGTATGGACATTTACACTGCAGCACATGAAAGTATGACTGCAGACTTGAATTCTAGGAATGAGAAGAGGGAGAGGAATCCTGCCACAGCAAACCAGCTTCCTCTGCCTACTTCCCTGTCCTTTTCCTACAACCCTCCCTTCTCTCTCCCCCTCAGCCCCTCCCTTCTCTCCCCCTCAGCCCCTCCCTTCTCTCCCCCTCAGCCCCTTTCTCTCCCCCTCAGCCCCTCCCTTCTCCCACCCTCAGCCCCTCCTTTCTCTCCCACTCAGCCCCTTCCTTTTCCCTCCCTCAGACCCTCCCTTCTCTCTCCCTCAGC